GGGGGCCGAGATGTCCAGCCGCGGGACCCGGATCATTTCTCAGGGGCACAAAGAGCATTTGCAGCTCAAGGTTCAGACCGGGGATTTGCTCATAAATGAGAAACTAGACCGAGAGGAGCTATGCGGTTCCACCGAGCCCTGTGTCCTACATTTCCAAGTGCTTATGGAAAATCCCTTAGAGATATTTCAGGCTGAACTGAGGGTGGAAGACATAAATGACCATTCTCCCGTGTTCACTGAAAGAGAAATGACTCTAAAAATACCGGAAAACAGTCCTCTAGGCATGGCATTCCCTCTGAGTAATGCTCTGGACTTGGACGTAGGAAGCAACAGTGTTCAGAACTATAAAATCAGCCCCAACCCCCATTTTCAAGTTGTAACCCACAATCGCAGTGACGGCAGGAAATACACAGAGCTGGTGTTGGACAAAGAGCTGGATCGGGAGGAGGAGCCTGAAATCGCATTAACCCTCACAGCGCTGGATGGCGGCTCTCCGCCTCGGCATGGGACCGCCCTGGTGCGCATTGAAGTGGTGGACATCAACGATAATGCCCCTGAGTTTGGGCAGCCGCTCTACCAGGTGCATATTCCCGAGAACAGCAGCGCAGGCTCCCTGGTCGTCACGCTCTCTGCCAGAGATATAGACAGCGGAGCCAATGGAAAAATAGTATACTCCCTCTTTCAGCCCTCAGAAGATATTAGCAAAACTTTGGAGGTAAATCCTATGACAGGAGAAATTCGACTGAGAACACAAGTGGATTTTGAAACAGTTCAGTCTTATGAAGTGGACATCAAGGCTACCGATGGGGGAGGTCTTTCAGGAAAATGCACTCTTCTCCTGCAGGTGGTGGATGTCAATGACAATGCCCCAGAAGTGACCGTGTCTGCACTGACCAGCCCCATCCCAGAGAACTCGCCTGAGACTGTAGTTGCTGTTTTCAGTGTTTCGGATCCTGACTCTGGAGACAATGGGAGGACTATTTCCACCATCCAGGATGACCTTCCTTTTCTTCTAAAACCTTCAGTCAAGAATTACTACACCCTGGTAACGAAGAGAGCGCTGGACAGAGAAGAGCGAGCCCAGTACAACGTCACCATCACCGTCACCGACATGGGGACCCCCAGGCTGAGAACCCAGCACAACATCACCCTGCTGGTGTCCGACGTCAACGACAACGCCCCCGCCTTCACCCAAACCGCCTACACCCTGTTCCTCCGCGAGAACAACAGCCCCGCCCTGCACATCGGCAGCGTCAGCGCCACAGACAGCGACGCGGGCGCCAACGCCCAGCTCACCTACTCACTGCTGCCGCCCCACGACCCGCGCCTGCCCCTGGCCTCGCTCGTGTCCATCAACGCGGACAACGGCCGCCTGTTCGCCCTGCGGGCGCTGGACTTCGAGGCGCTGCCGGCGTTCGAGTTCCGCGTGGGCGCCACGGACCGCGGGTCCCCCGCGCTGAGCAGCCAGGCGCTGGTGCGCGTGCAGGTGCTGGACGCCAACGACCACGCGCCCTTCGTGCTGTACCCGCTGCAGAACGGCTCCGCGCCCTGCACCGAGCTGGTGCCCAGGGCGGCCGAGCCGGGCTACCTGGTGAGCAAGGTGGTGGCGGTGGACGCGGACTCGGGCCAGAACGCCTGGCTGTCGTTCCAGCTGCTCAAGGCCACGGAGCCCGGGCTGTTCGGCGTGTGGGCGCACAATGGCGAGGTGCGCACGGCGCGGCTGCTGAGCGAGCGCGACGCGGCCCGGCACCGGCTGCTGGTGCTGGTCAGGGACCATGGCGAGCCCGCGCTGTCGGCCAGCGTCACGCTGCACGTGCTGCTGGTGGACGGCTTCTCGCAGCCCCACCTGCCGCTGCCCGAAGCGGCGGCCGACCCGGCGCCGGCCGACCCGCTGACCGTGCACCTGGTCATCGCGCTGGCGGCGGTGTCGTCGCTGTTCCTGTTCTCGGTGCTGGCGTTCATCGCGGTGCGGCTGTGCAGGCGGAGCAGGGCCGCCTGGGTGGGTGGCTGCTCGGTTGCCTGAGGGCCCTTTCCGGGCCGCCTGGTGGACGTCAGCGGCACCGGGACCCTGTCCCAGAGCTACCAGTATGAGGTGTGTCTGATGGGAGGTACTGGGACAGATGAGTTTAAATTTCTGAAGCCGATTATTCCCAATCTTCCAGTCCATGACACTGGTAAGAATATAGAGGAAAATGAGAACTTTAGGAATAGCTTTGGATTCAATATCCAATAATTTTTTAATTTATTATTCTTGGAATACTGAGGTATGTGAGAGGGGAGGTTCCGGGAACCAGTTAAAGTTGCTAAAGCTAGTTATCCCCAATCTCAAATCCCAGAACATGGGGGTAGTGCAAGAAAATCCCTTCTTTTGGAATTGCTTTGGGAATTAATTATTGATAGGAACCTAGTTAATAAAGACATTACCTCTAACATATTTTGTCAACTAACTAGATTGTTTTTGCCCACCACCAATAAGGTGTTGTTTAATTTTCTCTATTTCACCCTTACTTTCCAATTTTATGCTTAACTCCAGAAGTTTTCCTTTCCTTATTCTTTGGCCCTGCGAAGTATTTTTCAATAGAATTTCAATGAATGAAATAGATTTTACCTTAAAATTGATATTATTCAGTTTTTCTACCCTATAAAGTTGTTGTTGACTTTTAATTTACATTTCTGTTCTTTTCTAGAACTTCAGTTATTAAAATAATCTGCTGCTTGTGATCTGTACATTTATTTTCTAATACTTCTATTTTCCTTTTAGTTATTATTATTTTGTTAATCCTCACCCAAGGATATTTTTTCCATTGATTATTAGAGAGAGTGGAAGGGGAGAGCATGAAATATCGATATCTCACATGTGCCTCACCAATAGCCCCACAGACTATGGGCTAGACTGGGCTTTGGACAAGTGACCTTTCAGTGAAGGGGCCAACGCTCTAACTACTTAGCAAGATGGGCCAGGGCTATTTTCCTTTTAAAACCAATATATTTGTTAGTTTTTTGGGGGGGGTGTTAAAAATATTTTTATTGATTTCAGTGAGGAAGGAAGAGGGAGAGAGAGATAGAAACATCCATGATGAGAGAGAATCATGGATCGGCTGCCTCCTACAAGTCCCCAACTGGGGATCGAGTCTACAACCCAGGCATGTGCCCTTGACCAGAACCAAACCTGGGACCTTTCAGTTTGCAGGCCGACGCTCTATCCGCTCTATCCGCTGAGCCAAACCAGTTAGGGCTCTTTGTTAGTTTTTAATCTCAGTTTTTATTATACCAATTTTCTGAAACTATGTTCTTCTTTTAAAAAGTTTTATTTTCCCTGAATTAGTATCTGCCTATTTAATATATAGTATTCCTATTATGATATAATAAATCAGCTTTATCTGAAAATATAAAGAAACAACATTGTAAGATATCAAATGCGTGTATATGTGTTTAAGTTTGGAGACAAAAAAAGCGAAGTTTAGGCATTTTACAGCACTATATAGAAATATTTAATAATTTTTTCTTTTAATTCTGAATGAAAAATTCAGAGATCCTTATTAAGTTTTTAATGACTAATGATGCAGTCCTATTCACTTGAAAAGAAAACAGTAGATATCGGCAAGCAGAAGTTTATAAAGTGTGGCTTTTATGTTCAATAATCACAGTGTTTTTGGAAGTAACTGGCCTTTTCTCTGTATAATATACCTCAATTTATTCTGTATTTCTTATTTATTATCAGAAAAAACAGTTTCTTTCTAGATATTAGGCTTTTTAATAAAGGCTGGACGAGGTAGGTGTTACAATGCTGTTCTTACTTTCAGTGGTATTAGAATAGGCATTCATGTGGTCTACTCCTTGCCTTTCTTTCTTTGGTGAAGAGAAATTAAATCCCACTATATTTGAATTAAGGATGCAATTAATGTAAAGATCAGTCCTTTTTTAAATTCTTCAAGTAACTTTAAAGCTAATGTAAGAAAAACAAAGACATATTAAAGAAAGGAAACAAAATTGCATAGAATAAGTGAAGGAATACAATTTTTAAATAGCAAGTATTTAAAGACACTGAAAATTGTGTTTATCCTACTCAAAGGTTCATTTATGCATGCCTGAATACAGCAAGCATTTCGTGAGTGTCTGATTTGCCAACCAAAGATGACAAAGACATAGTTTCCATCCCTAAGTAGGGACAGATTGGCATGAAACAGGAAGCAATAATATGTACAGGGGAGTTATACAAGATTTTATGGTAGCACGGAGAAGGGACAACTTAAATGCTCTCTTCTAGATTATAGAGTGATGACTCTATTTGGGCAGTGTAATTATGTTTTGAAGAAATTTGTGGAAGAAACTGAGAAACAAGTTTCTTTGGTCAGTTCTTGATGTTCCTATCCACAATGTTTCTGTAAAAGGAAAACCTATTATTTTGGTGATCTCAGAAGTCACTACAGTTTTCCCCTTGGTTCTTGACATTGCACGGGGGTAGTTTCAGAAGAGGAAGGCCCAGCACACAGCTAAATATAGCACAGTGAGGCGCACAGAGTTAACTGCTAGAAACATTCTTTTTGCAACCATTCTTTTTATTTTCCTCATGAAGCAATGAAAAATCTCAACAACTTGAACAGTTTTCCATCTCAACATTATATTTTACAAAACATACACAAAAATGGAATAGTTAAATGATCCACTAAGGAAGAAACGTATAAATATATATGCACACACTTTGGGTACAGCCATTTGAGTCTGTTGGAAGCCAGGAGGTGGCGCTGCAGGCTAAAGAGACAGAATAGAGACTTGAACTAAGAATGCTGCAGAAGTCACTAACAAACAAAAAGGAAGAACGCAGCAGGCAGGCTGGGAGAAAAGCCATAGCTGCTCAAGACTGCGGAAAGAAAACACCATTCCAGACCCCTGCCGCTACGTGGTGTAGGTCTGGGGTTTGCAACTGCTGTTTCTTGGTGCTGGGAGCTGTGATTGTGACCGATATTGACAAAAGATGCGTTCAGAAGAAGCTGTGGAGGCTGGAGGGTTGTGCTGCCCAAGACAAAGGCAAGTCCTGTTTCTCTTTCTGTTTTGGAGAGTGTCCTTGGCGGGATCTGTGTTGGGACGATACTCAGTGACAGAAGAAACAGAGAGAGGGTCATTTGTGGTCAATCTGGCAAAGGATCTGGGGCTAGGGGATCGGGAGCTGGTTGCAAGGGGAGCCCGGGTGGTCTTTGATGATAACAAACAACACTTGCTCCTGGATTCTCATACTGGGGATTTGGTCACAAATGAGATACTGGATCGGGAGAAGCTGTGTGGCTCCACAGAACCCTGTATGCTGTATTTCCAAATTTTAATGGATAACCCCTTTCAGATTTACCGGGCTGAGTTGAGGGTTGAGGACATAAATGATCATTCACCAGTGTTTCAGAACAAAGAAACAGTCTTAAAAATAATAGAAAATGCAGCTGAAGGGGCAACATTTCGACTAGAAAGAGCACAGGATTCAGATGGAGGACTTAATGGCATCCAAAACTACACCATCAATCCCAACTCTTTTTTTCATATTAAAATTGGTGACAGTGATGAAGGCATGATATATCCAGAGCTAGTGTTGGACAAGGCGCTGGACAGGGAGAAGCAGCAAGAACTCAGTTTAACACTCACGGCGCTGGATGGTGGGTCTCCACCCAGATCTGGGACTTCCACTGTCCGCATTGTGATCCTGGATGTCAATGACAATGCCCCACAATTTTCTCAGGCAATCTACCAGACCCAGGCCCCAGAGAACAGCCCAGTGGGTTCCATTATTGCTACAGTCTCTGCAGTAGATGTAGACTCTGGAGTCTATGCAGACATAGCCTATTCGTTTTTTGATGCTTCTGAAGATATTCGCTCAACCTTTCAAATCAATCCCTTTTCTGGGGAAATCGTTCTCAGAGTGTTGCTTGATTATGAGCTAGTAAAGTCTTACAAAATAAATATACAGGCAGTCGACGGTGGCGGCCTTTCTGCAAGGTGTACGGTTTTGGTTGAGGTGTTAGACACCAATGACAATCCCCCGGAGCTGATCATGTCATCACTTTCCACCCATGTTCCTGAGAACTCGCCTGAGATGATATTGGCTGTTTTTAGAATTAAAGACAGAGACTCTGGAGAAAACGGGAAAATGGTTTGCTCCATCCAAGAGAATCTGCCATTCCTTCTGAAACCCTCTGTGGAGAATTTTTACATTCTAATGACAGAAGGAGCTCTGGACAGAGAAAGCCAAGCAGAGTACAACGTCACCATCACCGTCACCGACTTGGGGACCCCCAGGCTGGAAACCCAGCACAACATCACCCTGCTGGTGTCCGACGTCAACGACAACGCCCCCGCCTTCACCCAAACCGCCTACACCCTGTTCCTCCGCGAGAACAACAGCCCCGCCCTGCACATCGGCAGCGTCAGCGCCACAGACAGCGACGCGGGCGCCAACGCCCAGCTCACCTACTCGCTGCTGCCGCCCCACGACCCGCGCCTGCCCCTGGCCTCGCTCGTGTCCATCAACGCGGACAACGGCCACCTGTTCGCCCTGCGGGCGCTGGACTTCGAGGCGCTGCCGGCGTTCGAGTTCCGCGTGGGCGCCACGGACCGCGGGTCCCCCGCGCTGAGCAGCCAGGCGCTGGTGCGCGTGCAGGTGCTGGACGCCAACGACCACGCGCCCTTCGTGCTGTACCCGCTGCAGAACGGCTCCGCGCCCTGCACCGAGCTGGTGCCCAGGGCGGCCGAGCCGGGCTACCTGGTGAGCAAGGTGGTGGCGGTGGACGCGGACTCGGGCCAGAACGCCTGGCTGTCGTTCCAGCTGCTCAAGGCCACGGAGCCCGGGCTGTTCGGCGTGTGGGCGCACAATGGCGAGGTGCGCACGGCGCGGCTGCTGAGCGAGCGCGACGCGGCCCGGCACCGGCTGCTGGTGCTGGTCAGGGACCATGGCGAGCCCGCGCTGTCGGCCAGCGTCACGCTGCACGTGCTGCTGGTGGACGGCTTCTCGCAGCCCCACCTGCCGCTGCCCGAAGCGGCGGCCGACCCGGCGCCGGCCGACCCGCTGACCGTGCCCCTGGTCATCGCGCTGGCGGCGGTGTCGTCGCTGTTCCTGTTCTCGGTGCTGGCGTTCATCGCGGTGCGGCTGTGCAGGCGGAGCAGGGCCGCCTGGGTGGGTGGCTGCTCGGTGCCTGAGGGCCCCTTTCCGGGCCGCCTGGTGGACGTCAGCGGCACCGGGACCCTGTCCCAGAGCTACCAGTATGAGGTGTGTCTGACGGGAGGCTCAGGGCCCAGCGAGTTCAAGTTTCTGAAGCCGATTCTCCCCAATATTCAGGAACAGGGCCTTGAGAGGAATAGTGAAGAAAACCCCACCTTTCGTAATAGCTTTGGATTTAATTTTTAGTAAAAATTCTTTTTATGCCAAAACCGGTTTGGCTCAGTGGATAGAGCGTCGGCTTGCGGACTGAGGGGTCCCGGGTTCGATTCCGGTCAAGGGCATGTACCTGGGTTGCGGGCACATCCCCGGTGGGGGATGTGCAGGAGGCGGCTGATCGATGTTTCTCTCTCATCGATGTTTCTAACTCTCCATCTCTCTCCCTTCCTCTCTGTAAAAAAATCAATAAAATATATTTAAAAAAAAAAAGAAAAAAAAAATTCTTTTTATATTTTCGTGTACTTTTGAAGTGTTTTGCAACCATATAAATATTAGTTTAGTTTTAAAACTCCACTTTAAATTATTATGCAACTTCAAGCCTAATATTTTTTCATTTTTTTTTTCCGGAGGTAGAGAGGGAGAGGGAGCTAGAAACATCAATGTTAAGAGAGAATCATTGATCTGCTGCCTCCTGCACGCCCCCTATTGGGGAATTGAGCCTGTATTTCTGGCATATGCCCTGGCAGGGAATGGAACCGTGATTTCTGGTTCATGGGTAACCACTGAGCCACAAGGACGGGCAAACCTAAATTAGAGTACTTTATGTCTATGTCTTTACAGTGTTCTTTTATCATATTTGCATTAATCAACAGTTTAATTAGCACCCATTTTAAAATAATCGTTTTAAGGTTTAATTCTTTGACAATATACAGTGATTATATTTATTTCTCATTCTAGAAAACAGGTTTTTATTTTTCTCTTAGTATATTTCACAGACTCCATCTCATTCTATCCACCCCTCTATTGTATTTCCTCCGTGCAAGAAGACATATGTGCACGTCTGACCTTATTCTACCATTGCGTTTAATCCTATTACAAATCCATGTCATCTAGTTCTAAATCATAGCATTTAAGAAGAAATAGTTCTGTATTATTCTGCTATGATAAAATGAAGCATCATTTTGTGAGCAATGTTGGACTCTAGTAATATCCTTGTTTATATTATTATGTCATTTCTTTACATACACTACTCTTACCCAGAATTTTCTAATGTTCACTGTTGCTGATATGTTATATAGAACATGTTATATAATTCAAGGAAAATGTAATAACATGCATGAAAATGGTTATAAATAAAATCATTTTGAAAGTTTGAATTTGAGAACGTTGGTGAACTGTTGAAAAGATATTTACTTTTCATTTTATTTTGTAAATTTGTTTAATTATCAAATTTAAAAATGAAGATGTACTAAAGTCATAAGGAAAAACAATAGATTTTTTTCTACCTCCAGATACTTTCTATAAGTGGTTTCTCTAGAACTGACCTCAATATTTCTAAGTAATACCTTTATATTGCTCTATCTTGACATTCAGCTTCATACTTTAATCGCCTCTTTCTATGATAAAAAAGGATTGAACTTTTTTACTTTCCAACTAACAAACACATGTATATTGCTCACTTCCTTTCCCCTGTTTTCCCAATAGAGTTGTCATAGTTTTTTAGTTAAACTAGTTATTTTTGTCTATACTATAGATATGACTATTTCAAAAATACATGTTGGAGTACTATGATTACATTTACTTTCTTGAAAAACATTTTTCCTAGAGCTGATAATTGTTGTTTTTACTTGCAGAATTTTCTACTTATATTAATTTTTCACATTATTATTCATTTGAATATTAACCTTTCTCCTTAAATATTCAAATATACCAGCTATCTATTAATTATATTTATTTCCTTGAGATCTTCCACACAGATCCCTTCATATCACTGCTTCATTTACACTGGTTGCTGTATAAGCAATCACCCTAGGGCTTTTTTTCTTTTAATACTTTCCCTTATTGGGTTCCCTTTTACAAAATCCAGAGTATTCTTCTTTTTTAGTTTACTCTCTTATTTAGCTGACACACATCTCTTAATCCTATATAATAAAAGCCTAATATGCTAACTGTCTGACCGTTTGTTTGACCATTTAACTAGTCGCTACAATGTGCACTGACCACCACTGACCAGCAGATGCTCCCACCAGTAGGTTAGCTTGCTGCTGAGGTCTGGCCAATCAGGACTGGGCGAGATGGGCTGGACATGACCTGGAGCCCTCCCGCGTGCACCAGTGGGGTCCCTTGCCTGGCCTGCGCCCTCTAGCAATCCACTACCCCTTGGGGGATTTCTGAGATTTTGGCCCGATCCCCGCAGGCTAGTAGTTTCATAAAAATGGATGCAGTAACTTGTCCTGTGAAGGTATTGTCATTTTCTTTCCATTTGATTGATAGTTTGGCTGGGTATAAAATTTTGGTTGAAAATGATTTTCCCTCAGATTTTGAAAGCATATTACATCTACTGATTGTATATACAGTTGCTGTTCTTCTGATTCCATTCTGATTCCTATCTCTTTTAATGTCAATCCATTTTTTTTCATTGTGGATGCATTGGAAACTTTCCTCTTGATTTCTGAAAATTCCTTAGTGTCAGCTATTTATTATTCTGGCCACATGGGTGTACCCCATTAATGTTTAGACCCTCATTCAATTCTGAGAAATTTTCTTGTTGTTTCCTTCACAATTTCCCCCTTGAATTTTCTACATTCTCACTTTAACCAGAATCTCATCAGTTAAATATTGGGTCTCCAGGATTGAATCTCTAATACTCTATTTTTTTCTTTATTTTTTTTCTTTGTCTCTTATTCTACTTCTTGGACAATTGTTTTATCATCCAATTCTTATATTTGTTTTCTTTTGGGCTAGCAAATATTTATTTTTAAGAGCTCTTTGAGTTTTATGAATATTTTTCATAGCATCCTGCTATAGATTTGTAAATGTAATATTTTCTCTTGTCTGTAATCAATCTAGTTATTCTTTTAAAATGCGCTATGCAAAAAAATGAATTATTCAGTAAAACTGGGAGAATCACAGGAAATTTAAGAATCTACCCAAAATTATATAGCTAGTAAGGGGCACTTAAGCCCTAATTTACTCTTTATGTTACAATAAGATTACATACTTCATACAGTTACTGTTAAGATTAAATGGGTAGACACACATATATGGCACTAGAACAATTGGTAGCAAAAAAGTAAATACTCAATAATAAGTATTAATTCTTATTAGATTTTACTACTCATTTTAAAGACTTTGCTTCTGTTTTCTTTATTATATATACTTGTTTCCTGATGTTACTTTTTTGTGGTGTTTTGACCTTTTTATGTCACGTGTAGGTATTTCCTCAAATGTCTTGTGGTCTTTGTCTCTCTTCTTATATTTAAGAATGATGAGATATCATAGCGCTGACAGTCAGCTCTTGTGAATATATGAGGCCTGTTGATGGCAGGGCTTCGCTCTAATGTAACTATGTAGGATATATCTACCCCCTTGGGAGCTCCTCAAATATCAGTATGTTTAAGTTTTTATCTGTGTCTTTCATATCCTCCAGGTTAGAATTCTGCAATATCTTCTGTGAGACAGAAAGTTAGGGAGGGGATCGGGCATATGCCTTGTGTCCTACAATTGGTGAGTATGGTTTGTATCACCTTGCAGGATACATTTTTGCTTAATGTTTCTATTTTTACTTTCATACCTCATACTTGCACTCAGCTCTGCCCAAGGTCTCTAAAACTAGACATAGTCCCATTTAATTTCTCAATTGAATAAATTTTCCATTTTCTGGCCCCAAGTTTTTTTTCCTATGTAGGATAACAGAATCTGAGAATTCAACTTTCCTATATATGTACAGTCAACTCACAACTTATGTTTAGTTCTCTTATACACTTGATTCCTAAAAAGCTTGTACCTAAATGGGGTAATGTGGGACAAATTCACTACTTTATTGTGAATATCTACAATGCAAGAACTTTACTTTAGACATTTCTTAGAACTGCTAAGCCAGCTGCCCTTCCATCTGCTTATTGTTATCAAATATATATGTGTTCACTTGCACATTCTTAGTCTTTGTGAGTTTATACCATTTTTATTTTTATCATTGTAGAGGGTATTTTAAAAGAATGGAGAATAGCTGTGCGTAGTCAATCCACTTATTTTTAAATTTCTACCCTTTTGTAGTGATTCATTTTCAACCATGTAGCTAACTTACATTTTTTAAAGAATGTAATTTGTACTTAATGTGTTAAAAATGCAAACTTGTTAAGTCTCTCTTCCATCCATTCTTGAGAGCACTTTGGAGACCTCCTATAGTGCACATTATTGCTGAGCTCCTAGCATCTATTCCAAAGAATCTCTCTCATTATGTAGCAACCATGCTCTTTAGCTAGTAAGAGGCCGTCAGAGACAGAATTAACATAAAGGCCAAAGATGGGTCTTCAGATTCTGAGACTAAAATCTCCACCTACAATTCTATACCTCTTGAAACAAGATTGCTTCAGGAGCAGGTATATGATCTTGGTTGGTCTAATCAGAGGAAAACTGAGTTTTTGTTCTACGATTGGTAAAGAAAATTGCCTCCCTCTGGGCTGAAAGAAAAAGCAGACCACCATAGCTGTAGCCAGAATAAATCTTGGGAACTTACAGGAAACCAATTTTAGGAGTAATCCTGCTTCAAATAAAACTAACATGTTTGTGTTTGTGTACTTATTTTTTTGTAAATTATGAGGAACTAGAACTAAATTATAGATTTACATAATGTGTTCCACTCCAATGGCTTTTATTTAATTTCTTCTAGTTCACAAGTCATTGATATCAAAGAAATCTAATGAAATGGCTTCTTGTGCTACAACGACTATCTATATATGTCCCATCTCATGATTAAGCCAGTTTCATATCTTCTGGGGGGGACTTCTGAATTGACTCATGTACACTTTCCCTTTCCCTTACCACCTAAAGAAAGCCAGGTAGTGACGGGCTTTTGCTCAGTTTAACAGTCATTTATACTCTCCTTATTCAGGCTTTCAATCCTCTCAGAAAGATTACCAGCTCTTGGAGGCCAGGAATTTTATCTTGTATTTCTGTATTCATCACACACTGAGCACTTTCCGTGTGGTGAGAGTGGGGAGGGACACTTAAATGGGTTAAAACAAATACTAACAGCATCAAAAACTACAAAGACTATAAATCAATTCTTATGGAAGATAGAATATAGTTGCAATCACTTAAACACGATGAATACAACATTTGTTCCTAGGGGACAATCTGTGAATGGTATTTAGGTAGCTTTCATCAAACTGAAAATCTGTGGAGACGCATGGTGGCGCTGCAGGATAACATCGTGGGGAGAAAAACTACGCTGATGACACTGTAACCCACTGCACACAGAGCGCTGGGGAGAAAAAACAACCCAACAAGCTGCAAGGAAGGCGAACTAGAAGCTAATAAAAGAAGGTTAAAATCCTTAGACCTTCCTAAGATTCGGTGGACATAGCAGAGGCACATTTCCCAGAACTGCGAAGAGGAGCTGAAGCGATTCCGCAGGAAGCCTTGGGGAAAGGAGCCATGGAGACCGGAGGAACGGGCGCCCTGCGGATCAGGCAAGTCCTGCTGTTCTTTGTTTTTCTGGAAATGTCTCGGGCGGACTCTGAGTCTGGGCGCTTTTCGGTGGAAGAGGAAATGAAGAGCGGGAGCTTTGTAGGCAATTTGGCAAAGGATCTAGGACTGGATGTGCGTGAGCTGTTCTCTAGGGGGGCTCGGGTGGTCTCTAATGGTAACAAACACCATTTGCAGCTGGACTTAAACACCGGGGATTTGCTCTTAAGCGAAGCGCTGGACCGGGAGGAGCTCTGTGGCTCCGTCGAGCCCTGTGTTCTGCGCTTCCAGGTATTAATGAAAAACCCTTTGCAGTTTTTACAGATTGAGCTCCAGGTCAGGGATATAAATGACCACTCCCCTGTCTTCTTAGAAAAAGAAATGCTCCTAGAGATCCCAGAGAATAGTCCCGTGGGCGCCGTATTCTTACTGGAAGGTGCGAAGGATTTGGATGTAGGAATCAATGCTCTACAGAGCTACACGATAAGCCCCAACTCTCATTTCCACCTTAAAATGAGAGTCAATCCAGATAATAGGAAATACCCAGAGTTGATTCTGGACAAGGCGCTGGATTATGAAGAGCAGCCAGAGCTCAGCTTCATCCTCACTGCCCTGGACGGTGGGTCTCCGCCCAGGTCTGGGACGGCCTTGGTTCGGGTGGTGGTCTTGGACATTAATGACAACTCCCCGGAGTTCGAGCAGCCCTTTTATGAGGTGAAGATTCCGGAAAATAGCTTACTAGGCTCACTGGTTGTCACCGTCTCCGCTTGGGATTTAGACTCTGGAAAAAATGGGGAGATATCATATACTTTTTCCCATGCCTCAGAAGATGTTCACAAAACATTTGAAATTAATCAAAAGTCTGGAGAAGTTAGTTTAATGGCATCGTTGGATTTTGAAACAATTGAATCATATTCAATAATAATACAAGCCACAGACGGGGGAGGGCTTTTTGGAAAATCCACAGTCAGAATTCAGGTGATGGATATAAATGACAATGCCCCCGAAGTCACCGTGTCATCAATTACTAGCCCAATTCCAGAAAACTCATCTGAGACGGTGGTTCTGGTTTTTAGTATCCTAGACAGAGATTCTGGGGACAATGGGAGGATGCTTTGTTCTATCCCAGAAGACCTTCCATTCATACTAAAATCTTCAGTAAAGAATTACTACACCTTGGAGACGGAGGGACCCCTGGACAGGGAGACCAGAGCCCAGTACAACGTCACCATCACCGTCACCGACATGGGGACCCCCAGGCTGAGAACCCAGCACAACATCACCCTGCTGGTGTCCGACGTCAACGACAACGCCCCCGCCTTCACCCAAACCGCCTACACCCTGTTCCTCCGCGAGAACAACAGCCCCGCCCTGCACATCGGCAGCGTCAGCGCCACAGACAGCGACGCGGGCGCCAACGCCCAGCTCACCTACTCACTGCTGCCGCCCCACGACCCGCGCCTGCCCCTGGCCTCGCTCGTGTCCATCAACGCGGACAACGGCCGCCTGTTCGCCCTGAGGGCGCTGGACTTCGAGGCGCTGCCGGCGTTCGAGTTCCGCGTGGGCGCCACGGACCGCGGGTCCCCCGCGCTGAGCAGCCAGGCGCTGGTGCGCGTGCAGGTGCTGGACGCCAACGACCACGCGCCCTTCGTGCTGTACCCGCTGCAGAACGGCTCCGCGCCCTGCACCGAGCTGGTGCCCAGGGCGGCCGAGCCGGGCTACCTGGTGAGCAAGGTGGTGGCGGTGGACGCGGACTCGGGCCAGAACGCCTGGCTGTCGTTCCAGCTGCTCAAGGCCACGGAGCCCGGGCTGTTCGGCGTGTGGGCGCACAATGGCGAGGTGCGCACGGCGCGGCTGCTGAGCGAGCGCGACGCGGCCCGGCACCGGCTGCTGGTGCTGGTCAGGGACCATGGCGAGCCCGCGCTGTCGGCCAGCGTCACGCTGCACGTGCTGCTGGTGGACGGCTTCTCGCAGCCCCACCTGCCGCTGCCCGAAGCGGCGGCCGACCCGGCGCCGGCCGACCCGCTGACCGTGCCCCTGGTCATCGCGCTGGCGGCGGTGTCGTCGCTGTTCCTGTTCTCGGTGCTGGCGTTCATCGCGGTGCGGCTGTGCAGGCGGAGCAGGGCCGCCTGGGTGGGTGGCTGCTCGGTGCCTGAGGGCCCCTTTCCGGGCCGCCTGGTGGACGTCAGCGGCACCGGGACCCTGTCCCAGAGCTACCAGTATGAGGTGTGTCTCACAGGAGGTACTGCGACAAATGAGTTTAAATTTCTGAAGCCGATTATCCCTAACTTCCAGACCCAGTAACCTGGGAAAGAAATAGAGGAAAATCCTACCTTCCACAATAGCTTTGGGTTCAATATTAAGTGACCATAATTACCTTTTATACCCCGTACGTATTTTTATTTTGTGCCACTTCCATACCATGTTTCCTTTCCCAATACGTGGGTATTTTAAATATGACTTAAAATTGAATTTAGAGAGAGGGGAAGTGAGAGGGAGAAAAACATTGATAGGCTGATTCTTGCATGGCCCCTACTGGAGATTGAGCAGCCACCTGGAGATGTGCCCACACTGGGAATCTAGCAGGTGATCTCTCCGTGCATGGGAAGACGCTCAATCAACTGAAACTCACCGCCCAGGATTCAATATGTGGGTTTTTAAAATTGTACTGAGTTTTATATTTTATATTTAGTTTTATATTTTCGCATGTTCTACCCACCTTTACTTTTAAGTGACTGCTTATCATTATTTGTGGTTGTACCCCTGACCCTCTCTGCAATTGAACTTTCACCCACAATTAGGCTTATGGTAAAAAAATGCAGACCACTTTCAAAGTATCTTTTTTTTTATTAATTAAATCTTTATTGTTCAGATGATTACATTTGTTCCTCTTTTCCCCCCCATAACTCCCCTCCACCCAGTTTCCCACCCCAACCTCCACCCTCACTCCCCACCCACTGTCCTCATCCATAGGAGCATGATTTTTGTCCAGTCTCTTCCCGCATCTCCCACACCCCTTTCCCCCCCCAAGAATAGTCAGTCCATTCCCTTTCTATGTCCCTGATTCTATTATAATCAACAGTTCATTCTGTTCATCAGATTATTCATTCACTTGATTCTTAGATTCACTTGTTGATAGATGCATATTTGTTGTTCATAATTTGTATCTTTACCTTTTTCTTCTTCTTCCTCTTCTTAAAGGATACCTTTCAGCATTTCATATAATACCGGTTTGGTGGTGATGAATTCCTTTAGCTTTTCCTTATCTGTGAAGCTCTTTATCTGCCCTTCAATTCTGAATGATAGCTTTGCTGGTTAAGTAATCTTGGTTGTAGGTTCTTGGCATTCATCACTTTGAATATCTCTTGCCACTCCCTTCTGGCCTGCAGAGTTTCTGTTGAGAAATCATC